GCACCAGAAACACTTCTGAAGAAACTTTATGAAAGCTAATATTTTATTTTAATGACATGCAGTGTGGAAACAGCACATTTGAAAATCTGAACTCAATTACCACTCTTAAATACCACGTTTTAAGAAAAAAGCAAAGCAAACTATCACAAAAGGAAACAATAAACTTTGCTTCTGAGGAATGCGGTTTTTCAAAAGAGACATGGTGTAAAAATGGACCTTTTTCATCCGAGTATTGAAACATTTATCTCAACTTCCACTTCCTTTTGGCAGAAGAACAGTAGCTGCTCTGAAGATGTGCCAAGCTCAGAACGAGGGCTGATGTCAGTTTGATCTCCGATTGCCTCTTTTCTGTGTGGCAAGTAGGTGGAGGAACTCTCTTGGGAAGACGGAGTAGAAAGACACTCAGGATTAGCTTTCCTGGTCACTCAATCACTCCTACAAAGGACAGTTCTGGTGACAGTTACCCGGCTGCCTAAGCCGCCTCTTCTTATCACTGGCTCTCTCAGTCCATCTGGTAAGACACTGCTTCAATAAGGTGAAACTGAAAGTGGCCAAAAAGTAGCTTCCCTCTGTATTTAAACCAGAACTCTCCGATCCCGATAAAGTGAAAAATGAAGGTGTTAGTTTAGTCGTTAACATGGAAGAATTCCTTCTTGTAGTCTCTCCAGCATGACCTTACTGGAATATCTCACTTGTTTGCATTTCATACTGCCCTTTCTTTCATTCCAGGAAAGCATGAAATCCCCAGCTTAGAAATACAACATTAAAGGAAAAGACCCAAACAAAAGAGAGAACTACAGGCCAATCTCTCTAATGAACATAGATGCAAAAATCCTCAATAAGGTACTGGCAAACAGAATACAGAAAGTCATCAAGAAGATCATACACCCTGACCAAGTCAGATTTATCCCAGGGATGCAGGGATGGTTCAACACACGTAATCCAATAAATGTAATGCACTATATTAACAGAGTCAAGGACAAAAACCATATGACCCTCTCGATAGATACACAAAAAGCATTTGACAAAATTCTACACCCATTCATGATGAAAACCCTACAGAAAATTGGAATAGATGGTCTTTATCTCAACCTGATAATGGCTATCTAAGAAAAATCGACAGCCATCATATTAAATGGTCAAAAACTGAAAACCTTCACGCTAAAATCAGGAACAAGACAAGGATGTCCACTCCTGTTCAATATAGTTTTGGAAACATTAGCCACAGCAATTAGACAAGGAAGAAATGAAAGCAATAAAGACAGGAAATGAAGAAGTTAAACTGTTATTATCTGCTGATGATATGATACTCTACAATAAAGACCCAAAAAACTCTGCCAAAAGACTTCTAGATGTAATTGACAGATTCAGCAGAGTAGCTAGATACAAGGTCAACACTCAAAAATCAATTGCCTTCTTGTGCACAAATAACAGACTCACTGAGAGGAAATTAGAGAAACAATCCCTTTCACAACAGCATCCAAAAAAAAGGAAATATCTAGGAATCAGTCTAACAAAGGAAGCAAAAGACCTCTACATTGAGAACAACAACACTCTGAAAAAAGAGATCAAAGAGCATATAAGAAAATAGAAAGACATCCCTTGTTCCTGGATAGGAAGAACCAATATAGTAAAAATGGCCATACTTCCAAAACTGCTATACAGATTCAATGCAATTCTGATTGAAATCCCAACAGTATATTTCACAAAAGTAGAGAAAACAATTACAAAAATTTGGAGCCAGAAGAGATCTAGAATAGCAAAAGCCATTCTAGGCAACAGATACATGGCAGGGGGTATCGCAATCCCCAACTTGAAACTATAATACAAAGCCACTATGATAAAAGCAACACGATACTGGCAAAGAAACAGACCTGAGGATTAGTGGAATAGATTAGAAGATGCAAATAAATATATGAAAAATGTTCAACATCACTGGTCATTCAAGAGATGCAGATGAAAACAACACTGAGATTCCATCTCACCCCACAAAGAATGGCTGCTATCAAGAAATCAACCAATAACAAATGCTGGTGGGGCTGTGGGGAGAAAGGAACCCTTCTCCATTGTTGGTGGGAGTGCAGACTGGTGCAACCACTATGGAAATCAACATGGAGATACCTTAAACAACAAGGATTGTTAAGTCCCATTTGACCCAGCTATTCCTCTGCTGGGTATATTCCCAAAAGAATTAAAAGAATCATACCACAGTGCTATATGCACACCCATGTTTATAGCAGCACAGTTTGTAATAGCTAAAACTTGGAAATAGCCCACTTGCCCATCGACTGGAGACTGGATAAAGATGTGGTTTTTCTATAAAATGGAGTACTACTCAGCAATAAAGAATGAGAAACTAGAGACATTTATAGCTAAGTGGATGCACACTGAGGAGATACTAAGTGAAATTAATAGGACACACATGTAAATACCATATCATTTTTCTGGTGTGATAAACTAAAAATGTAAATAAGGGTCAAAATGTATAATTGATGTTTTGTAATAGGAAAAAAGGGTCTAAAGGTATTGGGCAAATGGGAGGGGTAGTGGAAAGGTAAAAAGGGAAGAGAAAAAATAAGAGAAAACAAAAAAAATGGAAACAAAATTTTTGTAAATAGGGGAGACGGAGGGGGGAAAGGAGACTAGGGGAAAGGGGAAAAAATAAGAACCAAGATAGGTCATGTAAAGGTACAAGATCCCAATGATGAATGTAACTGTACTGTATACCTAAAATGTACCAATAAAAAATATTTTTAAAAAAAAGGAAATACAACATTGATTCTCAGACAAAAGCTGTGAGCTGAATCATTCCTCTCTACAAACTCTGTGAAAGTTCAGAAGGATGAAAGTCACTCCGAGATATATTTATCAAGGGTCAGACAACTCCCTGTGCAGGAGAAAGGAGGGAGTGAAGGGACATTCATTTGCATCTACACCGCACAGCAATCCTAGAGCCTTGCTGTCTCCGACAACCGAGTTTTAAAAATACATAAATAAAGTACAACTAGCTGTTTTCCAGATTTTTCACAACACAGGAAAAGCAGGTGGTGGCTTGGTTCTACTCACAAGAAAACGCTAATTAGTGCCATCTATACATAGACTCACTAAAGAGCAAATCGTCATCATTTCATACTTGTCAAATGCCCAAAACCATCGAGAGAGTAGCTCTAAAGATATAATCCCAAACCACCAATAAACAAGGCAGAAGGCTGACAAAGTTAAGAGACAACTGGCCAGGTTAAGAGACAGTAGGCATCAAAAACAAAATTAGGATTTATACCCCCAAAATACCTTTTCCTTTGATAAATGGTTATTTCCTTACATCGATTACTTATCCTTCTAGGCAAGATACGATCTTCAGAGAGCCTGTTCTCTCATTTGTGAACTGAAATTGAAAATGCTTACTCCCCATGCTGTCGCTGAGGCTAAAATAAGTGACATGCACTGGAGCATTTGCTTCTCCTGGTGCTTCTCAAACTCTAATTTACATCAAATCACCATAAGATAAGGTGAAAATTCAGTTTCTGGCTCATTCGGTCCAAGAAGTACACAGAGAATCTGTCTTTGTAATGATCTCCATCCATGCAGGTATTGTTGGACCATGCTCTACACTTGAGATAGCAAGGGCCTCACACACAGAAGGCTTTCGAACACATGAGCCTCATTCAACTCATTAAACTGAACTGAACTAATTAGTCATGAGACAATTCTTATTGTCATCACCATGAAAACCAGCTGCACCCAGAATTGGGTGACCCCACAAAATTAGGCAGGCCACAGTGACATCATACTATCAGTTTCCAGAATCCTAACCACAGTTCATAGAAAATAAGGTTGCCATAAGATGGAAATGCCAGAGCTCTCAACTCTGATTGTGCACAGTATCACATGGGGGAACTTTTATGAAAAAATAGACAGCAGGGACCTATCTGCAGAAATTCTAACTGGAGGCCAATCTTGAACATTTTTTTTTTAATTCCCCAGGTAACCCTAACAGAAACTGAAACCCACTGCCTATAGATTGCAATTAAATATGTAGCTGTCAGGTGGGATTATATAATCTTAGAATCCAGGAAGATGGACTATTCAGGTCATATTAAGTGATATATGCCAAGGTCAAGATTTAATGAATGATAAATTTTATTCATTATATATTCAAAATTTTTTCACTGAAAAACTACAATATATTCGGAACAAGGCTCCTCCTAGAAACCCTTGAATACATGAGGTACTGAAGACATAATATTCTTAACTGAAAATACTCAAGCTCTGCTAAAGCAAAGAAAATAATAGTGTTTATATTTACCCTAAGGATTATAACAGACTTCACAGTCAAACATCATAGGAATTACAGGATACACACACAAGTAATATGGGTCACCTTTCTCTTTTCTTGTTCACCTATGCCATTCAAATATCTAATACCTTTTAGTAGATGTACCTGTCTTTCACATCAAAGCCTAAGGATGGCTCAGGAAAGAAAGCATTAGAGTAATTAATATCTATAAAATCAGTTCTTGGGGAGAAAAAGTAAAATTTTCAGATCCTATTGGGTCAGGATTGCCCATTTATGTAGTTTTATATAAGAATTTTACCACCCAGGGGCCAAGTATACATAGAATTTAAGATGATAGGAGTATCAGTGCTATGTGTGAGCATTTCTCAAAGTAGTCTGGAGACGAACAGCATCATAATTTCCTAGGAAATTTTTTTTAAAAATGCAGATTACTTGCTCTCCCCCAAACTACTGCATCAGAAACTCGGGGGGGTGGGGGAGCCCAGCAGTTCGTGTTTAACAAGCTCTCCTGGTGACCCTGGTGCAGACTCAGATTTGAGAACCACAGCTGTCTGCCATATTGATCAGTCCTCAGCTGACATCATCACTGCTTTGGATTGTGCCTCTGACAGAACACAACCTTGGACCCTTTAGAGGCAAGTCTTCCACAAAGCCTGCTGGTGGGACACAATGGAACTCAAAGGACGGGTAGATGATTCAATCCTCTATATAACTGTGGCGCCAGGTTAAGTCACACAATCTGGTGGTTCATATGTAGGCCTGTTGTTTTGACCTCGTACAGCTTCGCTGTGTATTGGTACACTTTATGTCCTCAGCTTTCATTTTGTAAGCGTGTGATGAAAGATGCTGCCTAGGGTAAGATGCAATGATTCCATTGTGAAGACAACAAAGGAAACTGTTCTCCTATGACATTAATTGTTTTCATGTCAAAGCTTGTGGAAGCTAAATGTATGCATATTTCTCTTTTGTCTGGGCCACCCTAGAAAACTGAGTCAAATTTGCACCCAAATTCTGGCTTTTATTTATAATTCCCATTCATGTAGTCCAACCCAACTCCAGACTTAATCTTATTTTGTTTCCATATTTTCTTTCTACCTTCCTTTCATAATCTATGCTGTTTTAAAAATCTTATTGTTTTAGATCAATATACAAAACTGCCTCAAAGTCTTCCTAGGATTTCAGCAGAAGCCTGTTTATAAATTATTTTTAAAATATACCACTTAAACCTTATGCAATGTACATATATACTGAAACATTACATGGTATACCATTAATATGTAACAATTCTACGCTTTTAAATTTTGAAAAATAAATCTTAAAAACATGAAAGATCAAGTGGAATTTTTGAAATAATAGCACATAAGTGGACTTACTGTTTGTCTTCAGGTTTTATAACAGATGGATCTGTCAGATTTTCTCCAACACCTCAAAAAAAGAAACAAAATTCGTTTTCACAGAAATTCAAGAAAATAATAACCAAATCTTAGTTTTAAAATTTATATTTACTTTATAGTAAATCAAATACTGAATGAATTGAATGCACTATAAAAATTGTCCAGAATGTTTGGAAAATTTAAATAATGCACTGTCTTCCACAACCCTGTCTATTATAAGAAAGTTGTAGGTCACAAACAAATGTTTTAGTGGTGTGGTCAGTTACTGATTGTGACATATGTCATTCATTTGCTGTTGGTATATCCTGTATTATCTAATTTTACTTTCTCTAGCACTAGGCAATTGTAAAAGAAAAAATATTATTCCCATTTTACAGTTTGGGTTTGCTTGTTGTTTTGAGACAGGGTCTCGCTATGTAATTCAGGCTGGTCTTGAACTCACTGTGTAGCCCAGGCTGACTTGAAACTCATAGAGATGCTCGTGCCTCAGCCGCTTGAACGCTGGGATTATAAAGTGTGCACCACAATGCCCGACTCATTTTACATTTTATCCTCATTTTACATCAATGAGTACAGTAATGGTCAAAGAGATGAAGTAACTTGTCAGAAGTTGCCCTGTCCACAGTGGTCAGAGCAGGAACAAGCTGGGTCCACAGCTCCTCTGCTGGGCTTGGCCATGCTCAGCAAGCACCATGTGGTTTTGCAGGTACCGTCTCTGCTCCATCAAAGAGACACGCCAAAAGCTACATATATGGTACTTATAAACGGCCAAGTAAAAGTAATCCCAATTCTTCACCTACGTGTTGGTTGGGGAGATTCGTTGAGATATACACTTATGCTACACGTACTTTTCTGAATTCATGAGTCCTCAACAAAATTTACTTTGTAAAAGATGACACCAAAGCCTAAAAGGATAATAAAAATGTGATTTAAAGCTTAAACTTACCAAAACAGGGACCAACCCTAAAATGAATTTCTGTTATACAATGCAGGTAGTACAGATCCTGTTCTCCAAAGGTGGTACCATTTCAGTCAACAGGGTGAAGGAAGAGTTGGGAAAAACCCAACCATTTCTCAGATCAGTCTAATAGCACTTGTTCTCTTTGCATAAAAGAGACTACCTTTGCAGGAAGATTATTCCAAAATTATGTGAATTTTTAACATTATTATGTGTCTCTACTTGTAAGAAAATATTCATATTTAATAATAATTATTTTTAAAGGTTTTTGCTGTGTTCTGAAGAAAACAAACTCCTTACAGACTCTCCCCACTAAGAAACTAATTTCCCTAGGAAAGTAACAGATCACCCTAGAGCCCGGAGTAGGAATATTCAGCTTCTTTTTCTGCTGTGACTTTCTTTGCCACTCTTCTCATAATACTGTTTTAATATACATAATTGAAATATATAGGATTATATATATATA